TTCTAGTAATATCTGTTATCTCATATTGGGCAAACAGAATTCTTATTTTTGACTAAGTAAAAATATTGTTACATTTATCAATACTTTTTAGCCTATACATAAACTTTAATTTTCCATCAATATTCAAAAAAAAAGGGGGGGGGAACACTGTTATTTATGATTTCCAAATATTTTGTTAGGTAACCAAAGTTTCCCTTATCTCAATTTCTCCCTTTTTCTCTTTTCATACCAAAGTCTAATAGTCTTGTTACACATCGTACCTACAGTATTCTATTATAATGTTACTTTATTTTCTAAAAAATATCTATTTTCCACTGTATTCAACCCTCTAGTTAGTAATATAATATCCCCTCTAATAAATAAAAACCATTATTTTCTTCAGCCTTATTCTGACTTTCTTCCTTTGCCAACTAACCTTCCATATCAATACTTTTGAATCATCAAATAGTTCTCCCTCTATTATTATATATATTATTTGGAATAAGAAAAACCATTTGGTTAAAGTTTTTTTTTGGAAGAACAAACCCATTTGTGTTCATTAGATCGCCTCCCTATTACTTCAATTTCCCACAATTGTCCTGATAGGTTTATCTTCCATTCAATCTGTTCTTCTTCCTTTTCCTCAAATTTCTTTTGATTTTTGTAAAACGTTTTTTCCAGTTTCAGTGTTGCCACTCCCTTTTCTGATTTTTCCATTGGCTGGGTCTGTTGGTCAATTGGGTCCTCTGTCTTAGTGTTTAGTTGTTCCAATTTTCCTGTCATTTTCTGCATTGTTAGTTCTTTGGTTGTAGTCAAGATCTGGGTTTGTATATTTAAGCAGGCATCTTGTTCCTTTATGTTGCATCTTATTTTGTCACAAGCTGAAAGGATGGTTTCGTGTATTGATTTCAACATGGAAAGGATTTTTTCCTGATCTTCATCCATATTCTCTTGATAGTATGTTAAGTTGAAGACTTTAGAATCAAACGTTAAAAATAGTTTTTTGTCTTTTGTAGCTGGGTATGTGACATCTATTTCACATGTTATAGGTGGTCTTTATAGTACAAATTGTTTGTCAAGTAAGAGTTTATAGTCCAAAGTATTCCATCATCTTGTATAATAACATAAGCTTCTCATGTAAATAAATAGGAAAGCAATTCCCCAAATATACCTCTGAAAGTCAGTAGAAGTTTACATTCATAGTTCAAAGAGGCCAGATATGCCAGCCAGAAGTTCCTTCTTTGCAGCTGGGTTTTTTACAGGTGGTAACTGTCAAGGTCAAGGAAATTCTTTCTGGAGTCTGGGCTTCAAGCTAAGTCTCTTTTAGGCAATAACAAATTGTAATACCATACTTCGCCACAAGATGTCACTGATGCCGTTTAAAGCTTTTTAAGTCCAAAATTTTTATAATAGTTTTTCAAGTCTTATTTCTTTTTTTAGATAAAAAAAAACAAGCATCTCCAATGAGAAAATGAACACTTTTAGTCCCCAAGTTTCAAAAGAATATATATTCAATTAGATTAAAATTGTTCTTATAGTTGCTCTGTTTACCCTGGGTAGTTAGTTGCCGCTTTTCTTAGAGGGTGGGGTAGAAATTCCCTTCCCTCTCTTCTCACAGGGGGAAAGATATTTTGGACAGCTTTTACAGGAAAAAATACTTAAAATCTTAAAGAGAGGATCAGATCTCACCCTGTTTCATCCACGTTGCTTTAACAGTACTTGGTGATGATTTTGACTTCGGCTGCCAGCAGCTTAGTGACGGGCCATATTGGTATGGCCGGTCTTTCCCATGCCAATTTGGAGGGCTTCCCCAGATCAAACGGAAGGGCTGCCACCCTCCTGTGATCAAATGGGGGCCCCCTCCTTGCTTGTCGTTCGACCCTTTCCAGGGTCCCCCAGCGGAACGAATTCGGATGCAAAAGATGGAGCTCCTCTTCCTGCGTCCACTGCGCCGCAATGGCAAACCGGAAGTCAATCCAGCCTGATTTTTATTTGTTTTCCTTTACAGGTTGTACTAAAATATTTTAGAAGCCTACAGAAAAAAACATACTGCTGTTCATACTATTTGCTAGCTTTCAAATATTGCTTGCAAAAATATATTGAAAAGCGAAATAGATTTTACAGTCTAAAATGGCTGGTTCTAGTATGTCTGTAAATTTAGAATACAGGAAGTGACATCGCCAATCTCATACTGGATGGTTTTGAATTGCACTCATCTGCGGCATCATGGTATAGTATCAAGTATATTGCTTTTAGACGTCTGGTCCCTAACATCAATTCAAAGCCGTTATTATTCCAGCTTTGTTTCATATATTTTCTGATAAGAAGAAGACACAGAAGGTATGGCACTAAAATAAGAGCCTTCAAATGAAAAGCAATGTTATGTAGTAAAATGTTTGCTTTAAAAAAACCTCATCTAAAAACATTTGATTCAAATTTGAGGATCAAACCTCTCAACTGCTTATCAGAAAGGTAATCATTTGGCATCCTACTAACTAGTGACTGGTTGAATAAGCCACAACCATGTTCACACAAGACAGGCACATCAGAATAATCACATACACATTATGATGTCGTCACACAAATAACACAGAGTAACAGAGTTAGAAGAGACCTTGGAAGTCTTCTAGTCTAACCTCCTTCTCAAGCAGTAGACCCTAGATCAGAGGTGTCAAACTGCTGGCCCGCAGGCCAGATGTGTCATGCCAAAACCGTGCCCACCCCATTGCCAGCAATGGAGAAAAAGTTGTGATACGTTGAGACGTCACGTGATGTTGAGAGTTTGACACCCCTGCCCTAGACCATTTCAGACAAATGGCTGTCCAATCTTTTCATAAAACCTCCATTGATGGAGCATCCACAATTTTTGAAGGCAAGTAATTTCCACTGTATCATGTCTGACCCACATATGTAAATTGCCTATCTTCTTTTCCTTAGTAGCTGAAGTGATAGCTGTACAGTTGTTCAGAAATGACTAAGAAAAGTAATTGTGGAGTGCATGGGAGTGCAATGTCACATCTGGCTACAACTTTTTACAGCGGTTGTGTCTTTACCTGGGTTTGTGTGACTCCTCAGATATCCTGAAGCACCTTGCTGAAATTGACTTTGAAGCATTGCACATATTCAGGCTGTTACTCCTATTTTATTTTTCAGGAATTTTATTCTAATTCCAGGTATCGTATTCCAGGAGCATACTACTACATTCTATTCTGCATATTCAATGGCTATTTCAATTTTTAGGATTATAGTTTAACTTTTCTTGTAAATCCTTTAGTATTATTTTGTAAGCATTACTATTTAGAGATTAACATCAACATTTTGTATTGTTTACTAATAAGACCATTAATAGAGAGGACATTATTTCTACCTTTCTTTTTCATTTCTAATTTCTATTATCCTTTTCTATCATATATAATCTGACCTCTCAGCAGCTATCTGTGTGCCCTTAATTCTGCCAGAACTTAATTCTTCAAAACCTTGACAATTATTTAAACCAATTTTTGCATAATGTAGACATGATATTTCTCTATGAATGCAAGGCACGCATTGTAGAAAAGTCGCACAGAGCCTTTTGTATGAGTGTTCATACCCTTATAGTTCTATTTTTATATATCTAAAGTTGTTTGATATTAAAGCCTATTTGAAGGTTTCCCCCAAGATAGCATGCTGAGCGTGGACAATCCTTTTTCTCCTGCCAACAAACAGCTGATTATGCTGCCAAAGCTGATTATTTGGCAGCTTATGCTCTCTAAATTTGAATTGAAGCAACCCAAGTCAAGCATCAGATGACTGTGTATCTTCAAAGAAGAGAGATCTTGATGACCTCAATTCTTTGTAGGAGCGATCAGATGGTCAGGTCTTTTATTATCTTTTCCCCTCACTGTTTGGGATTTTTTAAAGCACACCTAGGTTTCAATTGCATTTTTTAAAGCTTTTCTTACCATTGTTTACACTTTAGTCAACTGGTTCAATGCTGATCTATCCTATAACCCAGGGGTGTCAAACTGCCGGCCCGTGGGCCGGTTTCATCATACCAGAGCCGCGCCCACCCCATTGCCGGCAATGGTGAAAAAGCTCCGATATGTTGTGCAACATCACATGACGTCGCGAGTTTGACATGTCTGCTATAACCCCTTGCTGGATTTTTGTAAACTTTTTCATTTTCTTACTGTTTACTTTAGAACCATTTTCACTTTTGCTGCAAGGAAGTCAGTGGTGAAAGGATTCTTCATAGCAAAAGCTATTTGATTGATTTACATCTATACTGGATTTTACTATAAGGATTTTGTTTTTAGGTTTTTTTTTAAAAAAAACCCTCTGGTCTCTTTTAAAACTTTTGATGGGAAAATACCTTTTTTTAAAATCACCTTTTATTTTGAGAAATTTTATCTTTACTTCTTTCTGTAGACATTTCGTTATGTTATATCAGCTTCTATTGTCCTTGAAAGGAACAATTTGCCTTCACAATGTCTATAAAAAGAGATAAAGCTCTCTGGGAAGCTTTTGAAAAAAACCCTCTCATTAATTTACAAGTTTTATTCAAAAACTTTAATAAAAAACTTGATGGGCCAGCAACAGTTTTGAATTAATCCCATTTTCATGAAAATGGGCCATAATCCATGCAACTCCGATTAGTGTAATCTATATTCATTCCAATAGCGCTTACAAATCTTATTATGTCATTTATTCAGCGTTCCCATATATGTTAGCAGATGACCGAGATCTCAATTACCTTCATGACTGAATAAGTTTAAAGCATCTTTAAACTTGGAGCATTTTTCTCTTTTATTTGGCCAAGCAGAACTCAACCAAAACCTCAGTTTTTGGGCTATTGATAAAATTTCACTCTATTCCTGCTAATGAAGCTGATATGGCAGCTATAGCAGATCTGTGATTCTAGCAGTTCATATCATCAATATTATAAATATTTTTTCTTAAAATGTGCTGCTAAACATTCTAGGTACTTGCAATTTTTTATAATTTCTTTTTTTATGAATATAAAAAAATCAACAGATATCAAATTGAAATCAGCATAAAATAGTAGTTTAATGATCAACAGTATAGCACTGGCAATAGAAAATAATTATAGTACTTGTTAATAAGGATGCCATAATAACTTTGATGCTCCTATTTATGTGCATGAACAGCCCAAATCGTGCTTTGCAATATCTTATACTTAGCTAACTTAATGAATTTGGTTTCTACCCTAAAAATAGATGAAGTACTATATTGTTCCAATCTTAGGCATTGTGAAAATGGCAAGGCTCTCTTCTTCACCATCACCACTAGATCCCAAGGACATAGAAAACCCAACAGATTTACACATTTTTTTCCAAATTAATGAAACAAAATTCCTTCATTAATTGCTGATTAACACAACTGTAGTATATTTGTCTATATATCAATATTTTTTCTACATTTTTCATAAGATAAAAAGTTATTTTGTATAAAAGTTTATTTTGTTCTTAAAATGAGAGGTGCCCCTTTAATTGGGGAGGACACGCTGGTGGATAAGATTTTCATATTTTCCCGTACAAAATTGCGTTGTTGTACTGTTGCTGATGTCATGTACGTATTCCTGCAAATTACTTTTGCTGAAGAAGTGGGTGGGATAGTCTTTGGGAGTAGACCATTAATTTCATACATCCATTGCATTGCTGCTGTCTGAAAACATAGAAGAAAAGTTTCAATAAAAGTTTATCATTTGTTACATGAAGCATACACAGCTATCTGGCACAATGTCTGTAATTAGGTCTTTCAATGTTTTCCATGCGGGGGTGCTACACTGTTGAAACTGCACCATACTGGAAAGAAAGCATTACCATGCATAGTAAGAAAGGATATTTTGTTTTATGTACTAAGAGCAGCATGTTCAAATACGCACACTGTCTAGCACCCCAGGTAATCTATGCACTTGTTAATGTGCCACAGTTTGGAATTCTGTTTCAAGGAGATAATTGCACAGTAGGAAGTACACAAAACTAACAAATAAGGTGCTGGCTTTATTTATATCCCAGTGATTATTGGGGGCTAAGCACAAGAAATAGCATAAACTTTTAGTGTCTTAGTTTGGGTTAATGAGTTATCTCATAATATAGCATAGAAAAAGCAAACGGCGAGTAGTTTATCCTGGAAACTTCCGTATTTGGGACATATGGATATATTGTACCAATATAAAATCTACAGCTGGCAAAGAGCAAGCATTGTTGTTTGTATTAGGATTGAACAGCTTTTCCAGTGTTTGTACACATTGCATAAGATTCTTACTATAAGAACAGGTGGAGTAGTTATGTTACAACATTAAAACAAGATTTAAAATAAAAACAAGGTGCAAGACCACATCAAGTTTAGAATGTTTTCTAAATGCTAAAGTAACTAATTAGAGTTGGTAGAAACAAGATTATTTAATAAACATTTAATGTTATCTTATGTAAACATCATCAGAAGATGAATCACCTTTTGTAACCAGCTTTTATTAAAAAAGAAGCAAAGCACTGTGGTTTTGCAACAAAGAGTAGCCTGATTCCAAGTTTTTTTTCATAACACTGTACTAGTTGTGTCTCATAATATTATATTGTAATTTACCATTATATCCAATTGCAATCAATGCAAGAGATCCATATTTATATTGTTTCCATTCCTCCCCAATGGTGGTCACAGAAGCTAATGCTGTTGATTATTTCTTAGACACTGGATTTTATCCAATGTCCAAGAAATATGAGATACCATGGAGTTCATCCTATTTCATTTACTGTTTAGCATTTGTATGAAGATCATAAGAGAGCAATCCATATTTAAGCACAATAATTCAAAAGACTTGGAAGAATTTTATCTGGCATCTATATAGAATCCAATTGTCTCCACAGTGGTGGTAGGAATAAAAAAAAAAATTAAAAGCAGCTGCAGCAGTGCCAGTGAAATCTTAATCCTAAGTAGTAGGCTAAGTAGTTATATTTCATATATTAAATTTAAAGTACATTTTAACACTTGGATTACAGTGATTAGTGATTGCGATATCAAAATAAAGATCTGATCAGTTGCAGCAATTTACAATCTAGTGTACACATACACACACATAGACACAATTTCTTTCTTCCTTTCCTTTGAACGCAGAGTGGTGGCAGCAGCCAGGGACTTCTCATTTTCACACATCCCACTGCCACTGCTGCCACCACTGCTGCGGAGCTCCAGGTCAAAGCAGTTGGGGACCGCAGCAGCAGAGGTGGGCAGCAGAGAGGTGGCAGTGGCTGGAGGCATCTCATATTAAAAACGCCAGGGAATTTCTAGAACTCTGGCATTCTGACAAATTAGCCATCAATAAACACATAGATGTTAACATCTATAGACTATGCAAAAGAGACTATCACCCAGCCCAAAAAGGAACAAAAAGACCTAACCACCTCTCCACCAGAATCAGTACCCAGATGAGCATAAGTTAACTCCAAGATCATCAGACCAACAATCAAGTAAACAATACGCCCAATCAAGGAGCTGCCAAACAAGCCAACAGTTAACAGCCAACCAAAGAATCTCTAAAACCACCCACACCAACATTGTCAGGGCAAACCACTAGAATATAAACTGAAAGCAAACCCAACTCCTTACTAGCATTGATGATGTTACCTAGATTGGGTAATGAAATGTCTGCAAGAAAACAACCAAGTTCAGAGTGCACTAAAGACCTCTTAAATCTTTTTCTGCTGTGGTACCTGCTCTCTGGAATATCATTCCACATTATCTTAGAGTTGGTCCAATCCTACTGGCTTACATGAAATCTTAAAAATCTGGCTGGCTGAGCCTGGGGCTCAGATTATGTGGTTAAAACCATATCTTGGTTATGTTGATATTTGTTGATTTTATCTCAGCTCCTTTATTTTTTGACTGAATGTTATTTATGAAGTTTTTGCCTGTTTTATTCACTGTTACCCAAAGTTATATGTTTGAGATGGGAAACCATATAAGTTGAATAAATAAATAACATTTGCCTCCAATTTTGTGTTGGTATTGCTATTTTAATCTGTAGGGTTTGGCTTTAATAGCTGGCTATCAACCACTGTTAATGCCATGTAAACTGCAATGGTTTACCAGGGTCAATATTTCTTTTTGATCCTAGACATATATATTTGTGTATATGTACAAAATTATAAGAGTTGTCTTTTTATTAAAACATGTAAAGATAATTGGGTGAGGAAGTTTACTAAAACATTATGTGGGATGGCTAAATTTTTAAACTATTTTAGACAAAAGCTACTTCTGAAATAAATATAATTTTACTGATAGTTAGCACAGGGTCTTACTATTTAATATAATATTACAAATCATTAATATTAATATTAAAATTATTTAATATTTAATACAATTTAATATAATTATTTAATAAGGTTCTAAGTCTTTTTTTGGATATCTGCCAAGAATCACTTTGGACTGCAGCCAGATACAAATAGAATAAACAAATGAATGTACAGTATATGGTATTGAGTGACAAGATACAAATCAGGCATTTGAAATCATTCTGAAAACATTCTGAAATGTAGGAGTCTGAATTTCTAATGTTCTATTTGCTGTTTAGAAATATGTACACTTCTACATTTTTTCATCTTTGACACAGGCCACTGTCTTTCTACAGGCATTTATAGCCAGAGCACTGCTTCCTTAAAAAAAATGGGTATGTGTGTGTGGGAGGGGTGAAAGGTGGGAAGTAAAAGTGGATGGATGAAAAAAAAACAAAATCTTCAAGCCAATCTAAGGAAGCTTTGGAAGAGTAGATGCTGTAAAGGTAGCACCAAGCACAAAACCTTATGCTTGGTCAAATATGCCTCCCATGATTAATAATAATAATAATAATAATAATAATAATAATAATAATAATAATAATAATAATAATAATAATAATAATAATAATAAAGTTGGAAAGGACCTTGGAGGTCATCTAGTCCAACCCCCTGCTCAGGCAGGTAACCCTATACCATTTCAGACAAATGGCTGTCCAGTCTCTTCTTAAAAACTTCCAGTGTTGGAGCATTCACTGCTTCTGGAGGCAGGTTGTTCCACTGGTTAATTGTTCTAACTGTCAGGAAGTTTCTCCTTAGTTCTATGTTGCTTCTCTCCTTGATTAGTTTCCATCTGTAGCTTCTTGTCCTGCTTTGGAGAATAGCTTGACTCCCTCTTCTTTGTGGCAGCCCCTGAGATATTGGAAGACTGCTATCATGTCCCCCCTCGTCCTTCTCTTCATTAAACTAGACATACCCAATTCCAGCAACCGTTCCTTATATGTTTTTGTTTCCAGTCCCCTAATTTATTTATTTTATTTATTTATTTATTTATTTATTGGATTTTTTACCCCGCCCTTCTCCTTGCGGACTCAGGGCGGCTAACAGCCTGATAAAAACAAATACAAAAAATACCAAAATACTATCATTAAAACATAATTAAAAGGAAATATTAGATTGGCCTTTGTTATTTTAAAATTATATTTAAAACCCCGCTAAAAATTACCCCTTAGGCCAGTCCTGCTNGCTTTGAAGGTGATAATCAACACCTTGAAGCGCACCCGGAAAGCCACCGGCAGCCAGTGCAGCTCGCGCAGTAACGGTGTTACATGGGAGCGACGAGTCCCTCCCAACACCGCCAGCGCGGCTGCATTCATCTTTGTTGCTCTTCTCTGTATTCTTTCTAGAGTCTCAACATGTTTTACATCGTGGTGACCAAAATTGGATGCAGTATTCCAAGTGTGGCCTTACCAAGTCATTGTAAAGTGGTATTAATACTTCACGTGACATTGATTCTATCCCTCCATTAATGCAGCCCAGCACTGTGTTGGCTTTTTTGGCAGCTGCAGCACACTGCTGGCTCATATTTAAGTGATTGTCCACTAGGACTCCGAGATCCCTCTCATAGTTACTACTATTGAGCAAGGTACCACCTATACTATACCTGTACATTTGGGTTTTCTTGCCTAAATGTAGAACCTTACTTTTTTCACCATTGAATTTCACTTTGTTAGATAGCGCCCAGTGTTCAAGTCTGTCCAGATCCTCCTGTATCTTAAGCCTATCTTCTGGAGTGTTGGCTATTCCTGCCAGCTTGGTGTCGTCTGCAAATTTGATGAGTTTCCCATCTATCCCCTCATCCAAATCGTTGATGAAGATGTTGAAGAGCCCTGGGCCTAGAACAGAGCCCTGGGGCACCCCACTACACACTTCCCTCCATCTAGATGCAGTTCCATTGAGGACCACACGCTGAGTACAGCCGGTCAGCCAGCTACGAATCCATCTGGTGGTGATGCTGTCTAACCCACATTTTTCTATCTTATCATGTAGTAGGTTGTGATCTACTTTATCAAATGCCTTACTGAAGTCCAAGTAAATTATATCCACAGCATTCCTCTGGTCCACTAATTTTGTCACTTGGTCAAAGAATGCAATAAGATTTGTCTGGCATGATCTGTTTTTGACAAACCTATGTTGGCTTTTAGTAATGAGTTTGTTTGCCTCTAGGTGTTCGCTGATTCATTGTTTGATTATCTTTTCCAGAATCTTCCCAGGTATTGAGGTCAGGCTGATAGGCCTGTAATTTCCTGGATCCATTTTTTTTTCTTTTTTGAAGATGGGAACTACATCAGCTCTGTTCCAGTCCTCTGGTAGTTCCTCAGTGCTCCAGGATCTTTGAAAAATATAGTTCAGTGGTTCTGAGATCACATCTGCCAGTTCCTTGAGAACCTTGGGGTATAGTCCATCTGGTCCTGGTGATTTCAACTCGTCTTGGCTGGACAGGTGCTCACTTCCCCTAACTTTCTATTCTGTTTTTTATGGCACTGTTTTTGATAGGTTGGACTGTTTTTTCCCTCACAGAATTAAAAAAAAAAAGATGCAAAAAATGAGTTAAGTAGTTCTGCTTTCTCCCTGTTGCTTGCCACCTTCTTGCCACTTTCCCCCACTAATGGACCAATCATTTCCTTAACTTTTTTCTTGTTTTTTACATGTTGAAAGAAGCTTTTTTTGTTATTTTTTACTTTGGTCGCAAGCCTTAGTTCATTTTGAGCCTTAGGTTTCCTCACTTCATCTTTGCAGACTCGGGCTATTTGCTTATATTCTGTCTTAGTTATGTGCCCCTCTTTCCATTTTTTATATTGTCCTTTTTATCTTTCAATTTATCAGAGAGTTCTTTATGCAGCCATGCTGGTTTCTTTTGAGAGTTGTTATTTTTCCTCTTTGTTGGTATTGTGCTAGACTGGGCTTCTATTATCTCGCTTTTCAAAATTTCCCAAGCTGCTTGAGTTGTTTTCCCCTGGATGATTCTCATTCACGGAATCCTTCCCAAGCCCTCTCTAAGTTTATTGAAATTAGCTCTCTTGAAGTCCAAGACTCTAGTTTGACTGTGTTCTATTGCTTGCGCTTCCATAATGTTGAATTCCAATATTGCATGATCACTACCTCCCAAGGTTCCTGTGGCTTACACACCTTCCATCATTTCATCTCTGTTAGTGAGGATTAGATCCAATATGGCTAATCCTCTAGTTCCCTTCTCTACTTTTTGGGAGACAAAGTTGTCTGCTAGGTTTGTCAAGAATCTGTTTGATCTTCCACTTGGTGCAGAGTTTGCTCCCAGTTGATGTCAGGATAATTAAAGTCCCCCATTACTATTGTGATGTGCTTCCTACATACCTTAGTTAGCTGACCAGCAAAAAGTTCATCTATTTCCTATTTGGTTGGGCGGCCTATAGTGTACACCTATGGCAATGTCATTTTTCCCCTTTTTATATTGACCCAAATGCATTCAAGACAGTTTTCATCATTGTTGTGCTCTATTTCTGTAGAGATGTAGTTATTTCTTATATAGAGAGCAACTCCACCTCCTCTTTTATTTCATCTGTTTCTTCTAAATAATTTAAATCCTTCTAGCTGTGTGTTCCATTTGTGGGTTTCATCCCACCATGTTTCCGTAATTATAAAGGCAGTGATCTATGTTCTTGATCCTCATGCTTCTCTAGCTATATGTTGTATAGTTATGTTTAGGTGTCTGGTATCAAATACTTTTGAACAAATGAATGACCTCTTTGCAGTGTCATCAATAGTACTACTCAGAAAAAGAAAGCCAGATCATAATATTGACTATTGGTGAATTTTGTATTTTATGTGAACTCTACATACTGTACAGAGAAATTGGATCATTCTCATAGTTTGCTTTTTAATATTAAGTAGAAGACTATAGGAAGAAATATCAGTCAATTGAATTTAATTCTATGATCAATATCACCAAAATTTTACAGGTACAGTCTTATTTGAAAAACAGTTTATGTTATACTGGAGTAAAGGGAACAGCATGAATAAGCATCTTTAAAATGAGACAGTCAGTTCTAACCATATTTCAGACTTAGAAGATATGATTTACTAAAACAACTTCTTGTTTCAGGATGTTCTTCCTCCCAGAATCTATGTACTGTACAGTTTTAAAATGTCACTTTAATTATGTTAATATTGGTATGCTTTTATCAGTGGCTCTTTTTTAACCTCGTTAGGAAAAAAAAACTTAAATCACCTCTCTGTTCTTCTAATTCAAGGAAGATTTGTTTATATAATAATTCTGGTTTGTCTTTGTGTGTGTGCATGTAATAACTTCCAAGCAGTTTATGATATTGGTTTCTTCTGAGGGAATAAAATTTCACAGCTGGTGAAAGAAGAGTCACCTTTATTTTTTTTTTAAAAAAGCTAACATTCTCCAATTTTAAGACATATGGAAGAAAAACCCTCACAGAATTAAAAAAAAAAGCAGCATGCATGGAAGCTGTGGTTTCAAATATTCCCTTATGTTAAAATAAAGTAAAAACTCAGTCTAATATACCCCCATTTATATAGGATTTTGGATGAAATGGGCAAATTTCCATATTGATATCTCTTTAAATGTCCACTAGATCTCAAGTTGTCTGGAGAAGGTATTTACATTTACCTTACATTTACATTAAATTTATTCTATTTCCACCAGTTTGCATTGGAATTTGCAATGAGCAATGTCATTACAAGTAGTCCTTGACTTATGACCACAATAGAGACCTCTTGTAAAGATTACTTGTAAAAATTGTCATTAAGTGGTGCTGTCATAAATGAGGCATTATGTGACCATGATTTGAAACATTCTGTCTCAGCTTCCCTTTTGACTTTGCTTGTTGAAAGCTGGCTGGGGAAGATGCAAATAGTGATCACATGACCACGGGATGCTGCCACCAATGTAAATGTGCAACAGTTGACAAGCACCAAAATCATGATCACATGACTGCAGGGATGCTGCAACAGTTGTAAATGCGAGGACCAGTTATAAGTCATGTTTTTCAGCACAGTTGTAACTTCGAGTGGTTGCTAAACAAGGTTATAAGTTGAGGACTATCTGTACACAAATTATTTAAATTGACCCAAATGTTATTTGCATTTGTATATTAAAAATGTCACTAGTAAGAATGACATTTAACAAACATGTAGGTTTTCTTGTAATACAATGAAAAAAATATATTTACATTTCATAAACTGATTTATTTTCTTATGAACTTACAAACAATTCTGCAAGTACAGCATGAAAAATGAATATAATTAGGAACAACAAACTAAAACTTTTCTCGGTTGCTTTTATATAGTAAAGCATGAAAATTTAAGTATAGAAATATTGTCTTCATATTCATCAGGGAGGAAAAATATCCTTAAATCTGCAAGTCTGATATCAAGAATCTCATTTTTAGGGCTCACCTGTATTACCAGTGTTGCTTTGTGTTTTTTGCTGTACATACTGGGCTTGAATCCAACAGTAATGCAGGTTCCAGCTGTGTCAAGTGGAAGAAGCTCCCCAGCCTGAGGAGATACAGTGAATTCAGGATCACTGCCTGGTAGAAAGTATGCTGTGTAAGGCTCTGGGTACCTAGTGAACAGCAAAGAAAAATAAATTGCCCAACAGTTAGCATAATGCCACAAGAATTCAAAGTAATTTGTGTTCTGCTATAGGATATCAGCAATTAAATATTAATACTATCACATAGCATCCTGTTAGTCACCTTGTTTTTCTTCGCCATGTCTGATTTTCCTGAAATATTTGTGGAATAGTAAGAGAACGACTGCTTTGGCAAAAGGAAGTGCAATATCATGGCAGTATGTCATTTGCATGATGAAATCTTTATTTATATATTTATTTAAGAAAATATATATGGCCGCACAACTGATTCTCAGTGATTCCGGGCAGCTTATAAAAATAAAAATCTCATATATAAAACAACAAGAAGTGATAATCCCCCATCCCCCCAGCAATGGCAACAAAGTCAAATAAGCCACTTTATGGGCTCCATCCCACTCTGGGTTGCCCAGGCCCTTTAGCAAAAGCAGGTCTTCAGGGCTTTGCGAAAGAGGGGGCCAATCTTATTTTTGCAGGGATTATGTTCCAAAGGAAGAGAGCTACTACAGAGAAGGCTTCTTCTCGGTCCCACTAAATATAAATCCTTAGGAGAACAGACTCGTAGCATACCTGCAGGTATGGTAGATGTGACTGGGAGAGGACGGGATTTCAAATAACCTGTTCCCAAGCCATGTAGGGCTTTAAAGGTGACAACCAGCATCTTGAATTGAACCTGGAAGCAAATCAACGGCCAAAGCAGCTTCCCGCGAGAGAGGTGACACATGTACATACTTAGGCCTGCATAAAACCACATGGACTGCTGCATTTTAAACCAATTGGAGCTTCTTGATACATTTGAAGGACAGCCCTATGTATAGCACATTGCAATAATCAAGATGGGAGGTGATTACAGCATGAGTAACTATAAGCAGGGATTGTTGGTCCAGGAAAGGGCATGACTGGCGCACAAGCTGCAGTTGTGCAAAGGCCCTCCTGGCCATGACTGCCACCTACTCCTCAAGCAAGAGTTGTGAGTGCAGAAGAACTCCTAGATTATGTACTGGGTCTGTCTGTCTGTTATTATGTAAAAGAAATAAAGTGACCTTATTTGCATCACCTATCTTAGTGCAAATGATGTAAATTGCCAGAGATGTCCTAAAATTAAGGTAAAATCTATGCATGATGAAATCTTTATTTATATATTTATTTAAGAAAATTTATACGGCCGCACAACTGATTCTCAGTGATTCTGGGCAGCTTATAAAAATAAAAATCTCATATATAAAACAACAAGAAGTGATAATCCCCCATCCCCCCAGCAATGACAACAAAGTCAAATAAGTTCAAGCTCTCCACTCCATTCAGATAGCCACAAAAGTTTCTGCTATTTAGGAAGGATATTAGAAATTTGGCTACTTGCAGCTGAAACCTGATAAATGGGTGTCTAATAAATTGAAATTTCACTGTATCCCCCATTCTATTACCAGATTATATAAATGCACTGTACTAATACTCTCAAGAATATATTGTTAAAATATATTTCAGTTTTTAATTATATCTTCTGAACAAACTAGATATCTAATCTCTTCTATATAAAATCTAATAACATAAAAACACAGTTGATTGTTGATTAGCATTCACATGAAATCCATCCAGAGCCAAATGAATTATATCAGGAAACAGAAAATAAATTTACACGTGCAAAAAACTGACTTACAATCATTTGTTTAGTGATCATTCGAGGTTATAATGACACTGAAAAAAGTGACTTATGACCGTTTTTCCTAAGTCGAGGGCTACCTGTATTACTCCTCTTCCCATTTTTTCCCCTGTAATATTCTTGTGTGATTGATAAAATTGAAAGACCCTCACTGGACCAAGCCAGGGTTTTTAACCTAACCTGATGAAGAAACTAAAATGACCCTCAACAAATAAGCCTGAGAAATAATGGGTAAGTTTGGACACCAAATTGAATAAAAAGAAACTGGCCATATTATTGTTTAGCAATGTGGAAACCAGGAAAGCAGATGGCCAACATCAAATGGAAAATGTGATAATTTAGTGAGGCTGAAGGAAGACTTGAATTGAGGTTTATAGAAACTACATCCATCACTGTTACACCCATTGGCAGGTTTTCTTTAGCAAATAGAGATTCCTCCATACTTTTTATGTAGAACTTTTCTAATTGCATCCCTCCTCTCCATTTATTTTGTTGAAGTGATCTGTGATAGCACATTATCTTCAGAGAATGCTCTCATATGCTTTGAAATATCAGACAAGAAACTGAGAATTAACATAAATCAGAAATTCTAGGCTGATTTTATTACACCTGAAATAAATGATCCACTAACTAGCATGAGAGACCTGAACTTAGTTAAAATGGAAAATGTGTGCCATTGTTTCAATTGAAATTGACATATTTTATTTCTCAGTTGTACTGTGCTGACTGTACAGTTCAAGGTGTTTCGTCTTTTACTTACTGGTTGAGTGGGCCTAGGGACAGTTGGCATATAGAAAATAATATCTATGGTACAAAGAAATAAAATTTCCAGTCATATTGTAAAAGGAAGAAGCTAAACTGTTCTTCTGGAGTTACAGGATTGAACAGTGTTTTTTTTCATGTACTGATCTGCAAATTGATTGTGGCATCTGAAAATGTTTAGTGTGATAGCTTCTGGCAAAACCTTCATAAAACATTTATTCAGCACAGGTAAGGAGGCAGCAACTAAGGAGCAATAAAAATGTCCTACATTCAGTGTCCTAAACATAATATTTCATTCACTAGTTCACACTGCGGGAGAGGTAGGAAAATCTTAAATCTGATTAAAGAGAGGATAACATCTTTAAAAGTGGAAACAGTATTTAAACTCTATTTAATATGTTATATATGTATCAGGAAAACAGGAAAACATTATTTCCATACCAATAGCCAAGACCTTGTGAGGATCATTAACTTATATAAATAAACAAACTAGCCTTATTTGGAGGCAATGATTTTTGGGAGGAGAAATTTGAAATTTTAAGGTGGTTGAATTGAAAAACAAACAAAATAAGGGACATTTTTCTTTTGCTTCTTAGTCATCACTTTTAACCATCTATCTTATTATGCTGCTTTCAACCTAAAAGTCAAAATTCAAAGCAGCACTCTTAAACCAAAATACGATTGACTCAAACCACCAGTTCTGACAGAAGACTCAATAGGTATACAGAGATCAATGCAGTCACAAGTTTCTTGCAGAATTCCTGATCTTCCTCTCTCTCTCAGCCTTTACCAGCAGCAGTACAATCCCCAATGGCTCTTCATAAATAATCTAATCTGTTTGCAGTATATGCCAGTTTGGATGCTTTATCCCATCCCACCATTCCTTTCTGCCAAATGCCATGCCAAGAACAGCTGCTAGCTGGCCAAGATGGAATGTTTTAAAGAAATAACTATACTCAAGACAACATTCTAATCAAATCACCCAGAGCAGCAGAAAACACCCCAAAAGCATCATTTTAAATGGATGGTTTTTTGGTCCAAGTATTTCTGAAACAAACTCTCAAAACAGTGCTTTGCTCTGAGAACAGCACACAAGCAGCATCAATTTTGAACTTTAAACAGTTGGCCATGAGTGTGACTCTGCTTTTCACAGAACTGACAAACATGGCCAAATAGGAGCCAGTGAAGAGATCGGCTGCTAGGAACTCCTCTCCAGATTAAGGAGAAGACAAGGATAACCCATGTTTGACTCCTTTCAGATTCTTTCTGCAAAGAGATTGCAGTGTTCTCCAGCTGGTCTGAGAGATCTGGAGACCTGGCAAATATTTATCTTGTCTAAGCCATGTTTGAAGTCTTTTAAAGAGAAACTGAGTTTGCTTGCTTCCTCTCTTAATTACTTGCTTATTACTTCCATGAAAACTTGAAAATAAGGTGCTGCTGCTGCTGTAAAAGTTCTATTGATTTCCTATCAGGGAGATGTGAAACATTTATTCTAAATCATTTTCAAAGCATTCACAACCCTAGCAATGAAAGTAAAATCATCTGACTTCTGCTCTTTAGCTATGCAACTAAAATTATTTTCAATACTGAAAAAGCAAAATTAATAATTTTATTCCAAGATGAAGAAAAATATTGGTGTATCTATCTGTGCTGACTTATTATAGTAGTATAACAAAGTACAAATGTCAATTGGCTAATTAAAAGGGAGGGATGGGGAAAACACTTTCCAAATGCAATAAGATTATTTTCTAATTTCATTTTACATGAAATGGCAAAATCAAGGTTGCACCATAGCCCTTTTTATAAATATTTTATTATACCTTTTCTGAGAACATTAAATCTCTCACCACTATCAACCCTTAGCAGTAGATTATAGCATTCACAGGGCAATTGCTTCATTTTTGTGATCTAAAATAGACTACTCCACTGAAGTGGACATCTTGAAATTGTAAAGAAAGTTCTGCTTTGTTTTGAAGAATCCTCTCCAATGAGTCAAGAGAGACAACTGTGACAATGTCCCTCTCACATACACAGATGCAAGAAGTCAACTCTACACAGAAAATCAGTTATAGCCAAGAGCATCCTTTGGAAGCAATGATGGTAAAATTTCATCTCTCTCCTCTCTTTTCCAAGAACTTCCCTCCCTTAGTCATTTGCCCAGATTGATAGGAAATAACAAAGGATAGAGAAATGATACTGCAAAGATAGAGTTTTGCTGAGAGCCACACGCTTATCAATCTTTCATGGGGGAATGTTCCAAATTTTGCCCCTCATTCCTACATACATTAATATATTCTGTAGTCAGAAAGTGTCTTTATCAATGTTTATGAAGGTAGGGATAAGCTCCAGGAGAGACAGGTGGCCTTTTAATTTCATTACTTGCTGTGAAGATTTCAAATCAGTTTTGTGAAACAAAATCAGAAAATCGCAAAACCATTATTCCATGCAATCCCTGGAATTTACACACTCTACTCGTTATGCAACTTTACTCCCTGGCTTTTCAAATTCAGCCCTACATAGTGTAATTGGGCAGCACAATATTCCATAGGCTGAATTTTTAGAGTCGTGTGAAGGCAGTGGCAGCTAAAGCCGCACTAGTAATTCTTGAGCCTAGATATAATTTCAAGTCAGAAAAAAACCTTGCCTATTCTCTGAGACAGTATTTTTGGTCTTTATTTTCCCCCAGAAACTGGCTTAGGAAAATATCAGCTTCCTTATCATAATTTGATTAAATTGTCAACATCATGACTGTCTGTTTCATATACTTATTTATTATACTGAAATTCTCACTGCCTTTTGAAAGGTCAGAGCAGTCTTTAAAGCAGTCTTTCTCAGGCTTAGCAGCTTTAAGATGTATGGATTTCATACTGGCTGGGGAATTCTGGGATTGCCAAGTTTGAGGAAAAACTGATGTAACTGAAACTGAACCCCTGTAGACTCGTTATATTGTGAAATTTTTGATGGGCCTTGCCTGATGTGCCAATTTACTTTGAATCTTACTGCTCCAAAGTAAATAACACAAATACAATTTTGTCCTATTTTATCTGGACCAGTAGGGCAAGCATTCTCTGTTGGCCCACCTCCTCTTGAGCTCTTGGCATTTTCCTTCCCCCCTGAAGTGAAAGAATTATAGCAATTTCCCAATCCCCTCCCATTCTTGTATAATAATTGGAGAGGAGGGTTTGCTCATTGTACAATCACCAGGTTTTCAAGGTGGTTGTTTTGAAGATAACACAAGGAAAAACTCTCTGTGCCCTGGCTTGACCTCCTTAAGAAAAGCAAAACATAAATCTAATAGTAAGCTAAAAATTAAAAACTACCATGGATTGGATCCTGAAGAGATTCAATAACTTAACAGCTACAGCAATTGTTAATCTGCTTTAGAATTTTATTCTGATACCATATTCTTTTCACCTATATGCTGACTTACTTGTATATGAACAACTGAAGAAAATATTCAGTGAACCATTGTACTGATTAATTTTGTCGCTTCTGCTACTTATTGATTGTCTGGGACACTACACGTTCTCTTCACGACCTGTTTTCCTTGTTACTTTCAGGGAGGAGGCTTTGTGGTATTATCCGAAGCAGAACATCCAGATTCAGTCATTCAGTCATTCGTTCCATACAGTATTAACCTTGTGAACTCTAAAGTTTCCTCTTTACGTTATGTATTCAAGATGGATAATGATTAATATTTATATGTTATTTACTGTATATGTAAGGGTGTAGGTTTATATATATGTTATATATAGCATGTTTAAATGTGTGTAATGTATTTGTACATTTTAAGAGCAAGCAACTAAATTTCATTTTTAATGTGTGCCAATGTGCCCACCGTACAAAATGACAATAAAGTTTATCTATCTATCTGTCTGTCTGTCTGTCTGTCTGTCTGTCTGTCTGTCTGTCTGTCTGTCTATCTATCTATCTATCTTATATCATGATGAAAAAGTCACTAGAGTCTAAATATCACCCTAATAAACAAATAGATAAGACATTTTGCCTTGAATATTCATACCTTGTCTGGCTTGTAAGCTTAAAGCTGACTACAGACTCCTTATTTAAACCAATTGCTTCAATATCAATAACATCATCTACTTCTGGATCTGTGACAACAAACAATATTGGAAATTTCCAAATGCCTCCTGTGCTATGCTGTAGCACCAAAGTTGCTGGATTCCTGAAAAAAAAATAAGCATACAATATTCATTATCATTAAAGGTTTAATGAAACACAAGTCAAGTCAATGATGAAGATGCAATGGAAGCTTATATTCCTTAACACATAATGCATTACACAGCTCTTTCTAAATTGGATTGTAGATATTATGTTTAGGCAGGATAGTATATTTTTTCTTACTTTGAAACAGCTGACAGCTATATATTGTATTATTTTTTGTATGTGCTTCTTTATGAAATGAAAAACCAAAACTAATTGATGCAATCTAATTCACCTTAAACCACAGTATATTTAGATNATTTAGATACTATAGTAGTTTGGTGAAGAGAAAACTATTTATAATGTGACAACAGTATAATATCCAATAACTGTATTTTAAGTTGTATTTTAAGTTCCAAAAGTAATATAACATTCTATCATAAGTTCCACATTCCATCAGAGGTGAGATTTCATTCTTAAGGAAACTATAGTTAGAAAAGATAACTCTTCCCTCCTATTCCCCTTCTGCACAACCAGGGACTGAGCTACTGAAAGTGTTTTTCAGATATAAGTTAGCTTGACGACGATTGGAGATACAGTGGAAGAAAGAATGAGAGACAATTAGCTCTCTGAGGTCATTTTTGTCAAATCTTGGCTGAAGCTGGGTTTGAATTCACCTATTCAAATTCAAATCCAACCTGAAATATAAACAGTAATTCCTTCTGATCATTGATTAATATATTTCATGGGATATTTAAATTCTTTTGAGAACAATGTTCACAGCAAAAACTATGTTATCCAGTGGAAATTCCAAATAGTTAGGCTCAAAATGGCTAAAATTGGTCATTTAAAAAGCAGATAAATTTAAATAGACTGCTTACATAGAGTCCTCTTTTCAGTTTAGGATTCAAGTGAATTCCATGACTAGAGACATAGGAGTCTGTTTCTAAGCATGGCAATACCAAAATGACATGCATTCTGCCCTCATGTTTTGTTAATTGCCCTGCCTTGGGATACAGGGGATAGTTCAGTACATGAACAAGAATTTTTGGTTTTTAACATGAACACGTGAATTATGTGACATTTTCCAGAGCTTATTAAATCAGAGTTTACAAGACAGTAGTATTTTGCATGTGCCAGACTCCAAATTATTGAATTAATGGATTAGAATAAACTCTTTAGTTTTATCCAAGATATAAAGGAAAATTCATGTTTCAATTCTAGTAAGTAAATTGTAGATACTATCATAAATATACCTCGTTGGTTTGTAGGGTGTAAATATTATGTTAAAGATCAAGGTCACAATTCCAGTTTTCAGATCTCGCTCTTTCTTTACCAAGTTTATAGCTATTGCAGATTTCAGCTGAGATTTCATTCTTTCAGATTCAAATTGAATTTCATACATAAATTCATCTGTTGTGGAGAATCCTGTAAAATCAAGATAATTATCCATGTAATATAAATGCATTTGGCTTTTTAAACAGCTTGAAATGTTACAGAGATTTTAATGACCAAAATAAAAAAATCAAGAAACACGATTCAATTCCCCAAAGAATAGCTAAGCACAAACAAATCTTGCATTTGCAAACCAACGTAGAGGTTTGGTTCCAATCACTTTTGGGTTTCTTCACACAATTTTTGTGTGAAAATGTCAAAACTGAAAAATCCAATACTCGTCTATAAAAGTACTGTATTTATCAAAAAGAGGAAAGGGGAAAAGATTTTTTTCAAATATTATATTTTCAGAAAAAGATAATGATTTGTATCCATATCTACACATGGAGGTCAATGAATTTGACAAAAACGTCTCTTCCAGGATATCATAGCTTAGTTGAATTACTATAACTGACAAATTAAGCTGAAGAATTACCATGTTTCCCCGAAAATAAGACCAAGACTTCTTTTCTTTTTTTGCCTGCAAAAGAGGCACCAGATCCTATTTTGGGGGGGGGGGGGTCTTTTCCACTCACCTCCAGGATTGACAGCCCTGTCCAGCCAGTCCACTTGTTCTGCACCCGAAGGAGCAGCTTCATTCTGCAGCTCGGAATGGAGCTCGGGCCTGCATTTCACAGTCAGACCTTTCTGGAACCGATAACCGAGCAATGGATTTAATCCATTGACTGCAGAGGCCTTCTGGAAAGGCCTGACTGCGAAATGCAGGCCTGGCTGCACAAGAATTGGGCCTGCGAGGAGAGGCCCGGCTGCAAGATAAGTGGGTGCGGGGCACGTGGGGCAGCTCCACCCCCCACCCCCTCCCTAGCTTGATTTTTAGGTGTGCACCTCGCCCCAAAACTAGGGCTTATTTTGGGGGTAGGGCTTATACCAGGCCCACCCCCAAAAATTAATCTAGGAGATATTTTCGGGGTAGGTTTTACTTTCAGGGAAACACTGTATCTTACTTTCTGTAGGCTGGTTGATGCTTCAGTATAGGGATTTGAAGAAGTGAAGAAGCCCTCAATAAATACATATACATAAAAGTATCTAAAAACTATGCAAAAGAGACAATCAACAAGCCAAAAAGGGAACAAAAAGACTTAAGCACCTCTCCACCAGCAATCAGAACTCAAATGAGCATAGATGTTACCTAGTTTAGGTAATGAAAGTCTGCAAGAAAA